GAGATCCAGGCAGGGCCAAGGCTGGGGGTCTGAGATCCAGGCAGGGCCGAGGCGGGGAGGCTGAGATCCAGGCAGGGCTGAGTCTGCTTCCTGCCGAGGCCTCTGTCCTGGGCGTGTAGATGCCGTGTTCTCCCCATGTCCTCATGTCCTCATGTGGTGGCTCCTGCTGTGTGTCTGTGGTCTGACCTCCTCTTCTTCTAAGGACATCAGAGCCCTAGGGATCCGGGCCACCCTGCTGATGTCATTTGATTTAATTCCCTGTTTAAAGACCCTGTGTCCAAATCCTGCACATTCTGAGGTCCTGGGGAGAGGGCTCCAGTACGTGAATTTCAGGGGGTGGCTGGGGCGGGGGTGTGGGGACACAATTCAGCCCATCGCAGGGGGAACCCTCAGAAAATAGGCCGTTGTACGCTTTCGAGCTGCTTCCTCGGGAACAGTGAGCGGTCATCTCATGTAAAATGATATTACAAGGATTGAAAGAAAGCCAAGCTTCAATCTCCCGCCTGTTCTCATCATGCACGAGCCCCCATCAAGTGCTGCCCTGAATATATATTCAGGGGAACCTTTTTTCTGATGACATGTTTTTTTAAAAAAAAAATGTATTAAAAAATATGTAAATCCCAGCAGTGACCGGGGCGCCGGCTGTGGAAAAGAGGAACCCCCAAGCGCTGTGGCTGTGCCCTGGGGCTCCGCCTTTCGTAACCTCAGTGCGTTTAATTAAATCTGCACATGACAGGTTTTCGTTACAAGCGGCCAGCTGGGTCCCCGGGGGTTGGGGACCGGGTCGAGTGTGCTGGGGGACCGGCGGTGGGGTCCCGCGGCCTCCGTTCCTTCTCCACACGGACAGCCACGTCTGCACCAGGGGGAGGGTCCCCACCGCTCGGCTCTGAAACTCCACGGGGCCGGCTCGCCCAGGACGGTCGGTCACCTGTAAGTCATGGGACCCAAGGAGACGCGGGCTAGCCGTGGGGGGCGGGGGGCGGGACGCTGAGGCAGGGAAGACCCCAGGGACCCACCTGCACAGGCTGCTCTGTGTCCCCAAAGACGCAAGGTCGCCTTCTTCAAAGATTTTTATTCCAGAATTGTCTGAACACCTGCCGTTTGCTCCTTTTTGTTTGTTTGTTTTGGTTTAATGGGGGCAGAGGGATGTTGCTTCTGGCTTTTAGGAATAATAGTTAACACGGAGGGAGCACTGACATTACTCCGGCCACATTTACGAGGGTTTGGTCCCGGGACTTAGTTCTGACACCTAATCCAGGCGGGTGCTCTCATTCCGGTTTTCCTGAGGGGGAAACCGAGGCCCTGAGTTAAGTAACGCTTTGGATGGCAAACGACAGAAACTTGACTCATGCGATCTTAGGTCAATGTGGAAGTTGGCAAATGGGTACTTAGACGCCTAAGTCAGCTTCAGGCATGGCTGGATCCAGGGGGCCTCGGCTGTCCAGGCCTGGACGTGGGGACGCTGCGGACACCCTCTGCCTCTTCTGTCCCTGTGTTGTCACTCGTCCCCACACCCCGATGCTCACACCCTGTGGACACGGTTCCCTGCATTTGGGAAAACCAGGGCTGAATAAAGGGGGGCGCAGGCGAGGGTCTCGGGGCGGTCCCTTCCGCCCTCAGGGAATGCTCGGCACCCAGTGTGGCCCCAAAATTACCCACCGAGCGCAGACAGTGAGACAGGCTGCTGGACGCGGTGTGGGAGGAGGGCTCAGAAAGCGCTTGGCTCAAACCACTGCGTAGGACTCGGGTGCTTTCTACTCGTGGTCAGAAAACGTGGGCCTGGGCTCTGAGGACACCTCTCACTGGCCGCTCAGCTTCCTCCGGCCCTCTGTGCCTCGGTTTCCCCACCTTGGGACGTGTCTCCGGGGCGCGTCTGGAGGGACTCTGTGCCTCGGTTTCCCCACCTGTGGGACCTGTGTCCAGGGCACGTCTGGAGGGACTCTGTGCCTCGGTTTCCCCACCTGTGGGACCTGTGTCCAGGGCGTGTCTGGAGGGACTCGGTGCCTCGGTTTCCCCACCTG